AAGTCTTTGTTGCAAGAGAGGAAAAGGGGGCTTCTTTCAAAGTAGGGGCAATTGAAATTCCACTACTACATAAAGAGTGGGAGCATACTCTATCAGGGGAGTAGTTTCATTTGGAAACAGCCAAGCATATACTAGAGCAATAAAGTGGAAGTTGTTGACGACGAGCGGTGCGAGGGTGATTGCTGTATAGGTCGGGTGCCCAAACACAGGACAGATTCTACTGCTTTGATGCGAGGTGTACCAAAATCAAGTCTCTAATATAAGCTTCTAAAAGATGTAATTATCGTAGGAATGTTCTTCCTACTGTGTCTGTACTGAGTCGGTGGAAGAAGATCTGTATCAGTGGCTAAAGTTCCAGTTGATTTACAACTTCTGTGTTTGATTCCCTTTCGTTTAGTATGATTCTTTCTAGTAACGAGTTTCTAGCCTTGTTATTCAATAAGTGAAAGAACTATTAGAAGAACTATTATTTGTATTGATTTGATTCTATCATAGCACTGTTCGAGCCTTGTGAGAGACATAAGTCAGAATGGGACTTGAAACCGGTAATCCAACCTAAAAAGCAAACACACAACTTAGCCTTTCACTAATGCCTTTAAGGCTCTCACTGCGAAATCTATCTCCTTGTTTTAAGTCTACCTTTCCGGATCTTATTTCTTACTCTCTTGGGAGCGATCCTAACTTCCAATCTTATGTTAATACCAACAGGGCTATAACCCCATTCCTTATTGAGCCTATGAGCCTGCCTCGCTGACACCACTTCTATTCTAATTACCTGTCTCGGTCGATTGGTCTGCCCTTTCCCGGCTTTGAGTCCTAGGCTACAGCTCTAAAAACCCTATGTTCGATTGTTAGTCTGCCATTACTTTATCGAATTCTGAAACCTACTCTTCAGCTACTGGCTTTTAGGCTCCCTTCCTTTACTGAAAAACTGTATCTCTGCTTTAAACCACCAAGTCACTAATACAAGGCAAGAAACTAGTACCATTGGATTGAAATCACTGTTAACAAGACCACCTAACCTCAACCAATGCTGACAGGAATTGCACTTATAAGTCAAAGAATTGGACTAAATACTGCTATACTTCACTGTTATCCTTTAACCCACGGAAGGAAACAAACCTTGCATTATTACCTGGTTGCCTGTCTTTACTTGGTTCCAAACTAACACAAGTGCTTATCATACTTTCAATCAAAAGTGGGAATCACCTCGAAACTAGTGCTTTTGAACTAGAAACTGTGGGAATGCGCCTAACAACTAAGAAACCAACCACTACCTCTCTTGACCTAACTCAATAAACTAAGTCTACCACTAATAGCTTTCACTCTCACTACCTTATGTCTTAGCCTACCCTACCCGCACTTAAGTCAACTTTCCTCGCAGTGCTTACCTTGCCTACCTATCATTGTGCACCCTTTCTTATCAAAGAATAGCTCTCATACAGGGAGTTATCTTTCTCTCCTCTGCGTCTGAAGTAGTCGCTTGTCCCGTTGCTTGTCCGGTAACAACTTCAACTAATACATTATACGAGTGTGTTCTTGTTCTGGCGGTAGTAGCTTGGCGGTATTTCATTCCACTCTCAACTCCTATTGAACTCCTAACTCAGGTACCTGTATTTATTATATTCCACTCCTAAATAGGTAAGTAATAAGAATAGGGCCAGAATAAAGAACTTGCTAGTGCATTCAAGGTTTCATTCTTACCCTCTTCAACTCAATTATGAAAGGAAGGAGCACCAGGTAAATAAACCAGTAAATACACAACCCTTGCCCAATACGGAATTTTCTCTATCTTGCGTATGGTAAGGAACAAAAGCAAAAGGTCAAAGGGCATAGATTTAGATAAGATTACCCTTAGATAAGATTACCCATTGATATATACTTTCTGGCAATCGAAATATGAAGCTAACGTTGGAGCAAGAACAAGAGCATAGGTAGACTTCACGGATTCAACTCAAACAGACTAGAATTGGGACACGTAGACAAAGAGCTAGAGCGGAACAATCTGTTGACACGTATACAAGGTTTGGGCTGGGCCACTTAGTGCTTCCTTGCCAGTCTTAGAAGAGTCGACTCGCCTCTAACTCATACTAAAACCGGTGAATAAAGGACTTGACTTGGTTATAACTACCGACCAAGCTACTAAGGAAGGAAAGCTATAAAAAAGAGGAGAAGAATGATGGTAGAAAACGAACAAGAGTGGTTAGTTGACTCTAAGCAGAAGGGAAGGGCCAAGCTTAGTTTTGAGTTGCGCTAAGGAGCCTGTGGGGAGACAGAGTTCAAAGAGGTGCATGAAGAGCGGCCCCGCCAAGCATATACTACACAAGTAACGGGCCTCGCCACTACAGTTACTTCTAACTCGAACAGCTTCCTCATCTTATCAAACTTTTATGATCCTAATTAGAATCCTGAATCCGCTCTAAGATGATTGCCCTTCTGTAGATTACCCTTCCTTTAGATACGACTTGACTTTCAAACTAGACTTTCTTTCCCGCTTTCTTTATACTGGGCCTGGCAATACTGACTTTACTGGCATGACTTAACGCTTCAGCCGGTATTGATTCTGTCCCGAACAAAACTCGGTAGTTGCTCGTCTGATTGGCTTGTAGTTGGTGCTGTAGCTCTAAGTCATATAGAGAGATAAGTTAGGCGTCGACGAGTTCTGTTGCAGCAAGCAGGTCTGGAAGGAGAGGCCGGGGCAGTATAAAGAGAGTATGAAGGACTTAGTGCTCCAGAAAGAAGATATGATGCCCAAAAGTCGACAATAACTCCACTCTATGAATCTTAACCATATTATCACGCTCCTGATCTTGTTTGATATCTGTCTTCTGCTTGAGCCTCTGATTCTGTAATTACCTGTTTCTATAGGAGAAAACCTTCCCGTTAGCGCAGACGAAAACACGAGCAGACAACAAAGAATCAGATTGAGGCCTTGTTCCCTTGCTTGCTCATTTGTCCTTGCTTATTGACTTTAGGATTGTGAATCTACTGCCACCTTACGCTACAACATCTCATGCACGCAACTTAGTAAGATGCTTAGTTACTGTCTGTATTCTATTAATGTCACACAAGCTATATGATTTTCTGCAATTGCTCCCAAGTTTACTAAATGGAATTGAGTGGAGTTCGCCGGGGTGCTAATGCTTTTATTGGTGTTTACGCAGTGGTTGTTTTGTTTACTTGACTCTGTTCTATATGATGTGCACTCATTTACATTATTGGTATGGCTAGATCAATCCTTTTCTGATTGCCTACTTTCCCACCGGCAAAGCTTAGTATAGACAAGGGTATTCATAGGCCAAGTAAATAGACGCCAAGCTACTAGGCAAGTATATACTACAGTGAGTTATGAGCAAGTCAAGTGTAACCATTGACCTATTTGATTGAGACACCAATCTACAATCAGGGAGGTGCTGTGCTTGTGGCGCAATAAAAAAGAAATGACAAGCTTACATTAGACAAAGAAGCCTTTACCACGAAACACGGTATAAATGACCTATCTCTACCAACGTTAGGTGCCTTCTAGGGCATTGGAGTACAAAAGAAGATACTCGACTTGGACCACTACTTGTAAACTTCTGACTAAACTAGGGATGAAACTCGGCAACTACTGATTCCACTGGAGCACTACTAGTTTGGGATTCCACTAGAAAAGAAAGAGCAGAGCCTTCAGTGAGCTTACTGGACTACCGGTCTTCAACTCAAACCTGGACTACTACTTGTTTGAAATGAAAAGAGTGGGGGACTCCTTAGCTATTAATTAGGACTTGCTAACAACTTATTAATATTATATCCTTGCCTTCTATGTGTTTGTAGTCGTTACTTGGCCCTTCCCGCTTCAAAGCCTCTAACTAAGTCCTTAGTCGTTGCTTGCCCGATTGAAGTAACAAACAGGGGTGAACTCTAAGGTAAGAATGAAACTAATAAGTAACAGAATGAGTTTACTTACCTTAATTCTTAAAGGAAAGAGAACTGGGCTAGGTTGGTGCTCTAGCTCTAAGTCAGCAAGTACAGTTCCAGTGACAAAGTCAGGTTCAAGCGAAAGGGAAGCGATTCCAGGACTTGGGGAAGAATCTGCTCCTGCTCCTACCTACTAATCCAGCTCTTGCTACTCTACCGTAATAAACTAATCAAGATTCAAGTCAAACACCCGGTGGAAATGACCCTTAAAGCAGTATAACTAGGAGTTGTTTGGCGCTCATAACTCGTAAGTCCTGTCTTCGTAGATGTTTTCACGGGCCCTAACTTCGAGCATAAGAATCAAAGTCAGTGGGTAGGTAGAAGGCCTATAATTAGCCCTGTAACGCGTTAAAGCCTTATAAGTACTATCTCAATTCTCTTATGGGTATTGGTTCCAGTCTTATACCTTTTCTAGCATTGCCAGTTTGAAAGCAAGGAAGGACTGCCAGCCTGATATGGAGTTTTCAAAGAACGCGCTAAAGGGGCGTTATATACAAATGCCGATGTTAGATCCGGGCAGCAAGGATGGAAGGCGGAAAAGTCAGATGGGAGTTTTCGTTTTAGAGCGAAGCGGGGCAGCCTTAAAGCAGGCTCAACTCCACCATAGGCATAAGCGTTGATGTAATAAATATCAGAAGAAAAAGCCAGAGAGGTTGTTTGAGCCAAGAGGAAGCTAGCTGATCAGTTGAGGGAAGTCTTAAGGTTTGGGGCGGTAATAAGTAAGGCGTGGACTACCGGCGAGTAAGGCTTGGGACCGATGTGAACTAATGATACTTGTCTCTTAGTAGGGACGGGGTAAGGCTTGGGTAGCTGATGGAGGCAGTCAGATTCACAGCAGGGGGAGTAAGGCGTGGTTGACTCTTTTCTCCTATTAGTGGATGTGCTAGATCATACCAATATTCGAAAGTCTTTTTGGGTTCTTCGAGATGGTAAATGCATTCTCACTAGTAGCAGTTTATGCCTTGTTAGCAGCTGGCTTTCAGCACCTTGTTTCATTCCAATAGCACTATACTACTTGGATTCCCTGTTTCGAGTTAAAGCATTGTTTAGTAGCAGTGCCTGTTTTAATCAGTAGCTACAGAATAAAGGGTGTGCAGTATCGCATCCCAAAGTCGTAGTCTTGTTATTGTTAGTATCAGACTAACAGTAAAGGGGTCAAAGCTAAGAGCAAGTAGACCTTAAGCTAACAAGCAAGGTGCTAGATCCGTAGTGAAAGAATACAAGTAAGCAGCGACAGGCTCATAAGAAGTTGCCAATACTCGCTCTCCCCGCCTAGATCATAATTCCTCCCTCTGTATTCTTATTACATGACTAAACAAACTCTTTATTCAACATATGATTTGATGTCTATGCACTACATCGTACTACCTTAGTATTAGAGCTCGGCATCCTAGAGTTAAGCAATACAGATAAGAGAATGGAGATACTGAGAACAAGGCTTAATAAATAAGTCAAAGGTTTGAGCACGAAACATAGGCTTTAACTTGGAACTCGGACTTCCGCTCATGCTTCATAGCTCAGAATAAGGGCTTCGACTCGGAACTAACAAACCAACCTACTAACATAGGCTTCGGCTACTGCTTCTAGAGCTTTCACTAAGAAGTAAGGCCCGACCACCCATATAAGAATAAGAAGTCCAGCCTGGCCTACCTACCCCAACACATAAGAATTAGGCTTTCCTTTCCCTCGACATCAGATACTTTCGCCCTAACCAACATCCTACTTATGGGAATGCGATCACTACTTATTAGACTTGAACTTACTAACTAGCAACTCCACTACCGATAAAAAGGGCCAAGCAACGACTGTCGACTTACTGGTTCTCGTCGTTCTCTTTCTATATTTCCTCATTGCTTAACACAAGTACCCGACCCGACCTCTCTACCACTACTCATAAGAATAAGGCATCTACTAACAGGTCTGACACTCCGGAACTAATACAAGGATCAATGGAATCCCATACCGGTAGTACTGTTCTTGTTCTTGTTAGATCTGTAAGTACTGAGTTTAGCCTAGTAGGGGTTCACTTAAAGCTAAGAATTGGACTAAGTAGTCAAAGAATCCAACTAGTAAGTATAAGTTAGTTAACTGATTCTTATATGAACATTGCGGTAAGACAGATCAGAATTCGAATTAGAATACGATGGCTAGTATGGGGAGCTCGAGGAGGTAGTAAGAGCAGCTGTCCTAGCTGCAGTGGTTTGAGTCTGATTGACCCTTGTTGAAGACCGAGTTGCTAGAGGAGAGAGAGGCAAGCTAGTCCAGAGTAGAGGTCGGTGAAGACTCTCTTAATAATCAAATATACTAAGAATACTAAGAAGAACTACTAATACATAGGAGTAAGTACTAATACATAGGAGTAAGTTAGGGCGGCGAAAGGCAATGTTCCACTGGATTTCATTAATAATGTATTTGATCTACTGCCCTGAACCGGAACTTACTATAAGGCCTCTCTTCGAACTCGACTTCAACTTATGCTCTTTGAACCCAGGTAAGAGGATTCCCTATAGCTTGAGGAGAGTCTCTTTCTGTAAAAGCATTAGCTTCAGATTCATCTCTGGATCCCCACGTTAGACCGGATCCCCACTTTCTTCTTATATCCTTTATTCCCCACTTTCTTCTTATATCCTTTATACAGATAATAATTCATTTTGTATGGATGGAAAGCCCTTCATTTAGGAGTGAAAGGAATGTTTTCAACTGCATAGGTCGAGTGGAAAGAGCCCGTGTTGAGGTCGGCAGCCAATAAGGAGAGAGTTAGAGTCGATGTCGGCAAGGGAAGCTAAGCTATAAGTCAAGAAATACAGGATCGGATCGGATCAAGAAGTAAAGGATCGGGTTGGAAGAAACAGACTCATTAGCCAGAGTTAGAGGGGAGGTATATGAGCAAGAAAAGTGAAAGACTACTCATCTTTCCCGTCTACTAACACAGTATACGTATAGTATAAGAAAATAGCTATCAAAATCTCTGTTATTATTAAAGATAGCGTTTAGAAAGAAAAGAGACCGACGCATAAGGTAGGAAGTGAGAATGAAAGTCGTGACTTGGCCTCCGAGACTACTTGGACCATAACTCTGGAAAGGCAGTAAGCCACCTCTCCTTGCCACTTGACCTCGTAGTGTAGTGGGTCGATAAGCTTCTTAGGCGCATCGATAAGCTCCTGACGCGCAACCAATTACTTAAGTAAGCTGTTAGAGCAGAGTATTTATAAGTCCTCAAGTGGTAGTACTGTTCTTGTTGAAGGGATTATAATAAGGGGTTGAACAATAGTCGCTTGTCTGTCTATCCGCTTGTCGTATTCTGACCTTCAAGGCAATAAGGCCGATTTAGCATCGTTTAAGGCAGGGGCGCACCTCTTATGGGAAATTCCCTATGTTGCCTCTGTAACAGCTGTGATAGTGCATTTGAAACCCTAATCTTGATGGTTCCCCTGCCCACCTTTCTTCTTGTCTAGTGGTTGCTAGCCGGGTCTAAAGTCTAACCCTTTAAGTAGTGGTCCTGTTTACAGGTAAGGGAGTTGAGGTCTAGTCGGATGCTAAAACAAAAGAAGTAGGGTCGGGTCGGGCACTTATAAGAGGTCGGGGTAGTGTTCGCTCAAAGCTAAGAATTGAACTAACGAAACTCAGACTGAAACCAGTATGTATGAGAATGCAGCTAACCAGGTGTAAGGCTTCAACAAGTACTACTCAGACTGGCACTGCTGCTACTGATGCTCTGTATTGGTCCTAAGACTGATTCGGTCTAGCTTAAGAAAAGGAAAAGGATGCCGGACCTTCTTTGGGGAGCAGGAAGGTGAGTCGTCGCGTTGACTCGAATGATCTAGCCACTGCCAGTACAAGCACTCGACACTGTACGAGACTCCTATTCTCGTCCAGATCAGATCCATAAGGAGTCTCATCTGTAAGTGGAATAGGCTTGTTCTTTATCCAATCGCCCCGATCTTTCCAATGATGATGATCATCCCATTGACCTACTTAGTGTTGAGTATCCTCCAGATTCCCATAGCCCCAGAGTATTTTAGCGGACTCAAGGTGACTTCTAACCAGGAGTTCCTCAGAGCAAACAATAAAGATGTTTTTAAAGCGGCCCGATTATTGTACTTATAGTTGTTGCTTAGCTTCAAACCTAGTTCTTCGACCCCGTCCGAATGTAAGGCGGCTCCGAAGGCGCTAAAGGAGGATATTGCAAGTGGTCTACTCTCTCATCTACAACAGTGGATCAACCCGTTGTCCAAACTTCCAAGTATTTGACAAAAGAAAAGCGTGCTTGACGGAAGATAAACTGAAAGGCGCTTTCGCTCTGTAAACCTCTTGTTAGCCGGAGCTCATAAAAGGCTCATTTTCAGGAATGCATTTTCTACCATACCAGAAGATACACTTGGATTTTCGGCTAGCCCAGCACTAACTCTTCGATATCTTTATTGTTGGAAGTCTCCTTTCTCCCATTGATTACGAGTGGGACCAAAGAATTCCATCGGGGTAGTAGCCGAGCCATACCACATAGTTCCAACAACTACTGGAAAAAAGACAGCACAGGAAAGGATGGTTTCAATATTTCCCCCATACGTAATCCTTTGTATAGACGTTGGGGCGGAGGGACACAAAGATGGAATGGAATAGACCCGACAATATGCCCAAGGTTCCTGCTGCAATATGATGAGAGGCTCTGGATTTTCTCCCGGAACAAAAGGAGAAAAAACCGGACACACCCAATACTGTATTTACTACTTGATAGAAACATCGCTAGGTCGGCGAGACAGAGATAGGGTTGTGGGCAAGGCGGAGTACCAGCTGACTGAGCGGAATTCCTCCCTATTAGTTTGATTCGATATTAAGATATAGTATTGTTGACATTAGTTCTATTCTTTCCCGCAGTGGAAAGGGTAAGGCACGGGCAGATGCGGTAGATCGACTGCAAAACGACAAAAAGGTATAAACACAACAGGTTTACATCTTATTTGGATCATACATAATTTATGGATCAACATGAATTCGGCGCTTTTGACAAACTTGATGTTAAGGAATCTATAAACCTATAAGATCATATATGACAATTGAACTATTGAAAACTCTTGCTTGCTTTTTAAGAACCAAAATCACAGATGTAAAGAAGAACAAAAGCACTTGGACCCGTAATAGGTCTTGAAGCACTATTTCTTCATCTCACTGACCAAAGCCTCCCACATAGGGATTGCTTGTTAATGGTTGATCAAGCTTTATGGATGAACCCTACCCTCTGATACATTCCGTTCGAGTACTAGAGGTATAATATCAACCACGAAAGAAGTGGCGAGGGCAGAAGAAAGGGTGTTTTCAATTCGCTCCTGGAAATTGGTATGAAACTAAGGGCATAGTTTGCCTCTTTAACCAAAGGATTCGCAGTAAAGCCAATGCGTATACTTTCCAAGTGAGACGTCGGAACTACCGCGCCTTATCTTTACTTGCTTTTGGGGGTAGGAATTAGTAGTGGGACGTTCTTTTCATAGATCCTTCGAGCGAGTTCGGTGCTGCGCCTTACCGTGTGGTCAAGATATGAAAGGCAAAGGTAAGGAGAAATAGGGTTGCTAAGCTTCATGGGGAGATCGGGTAGCAAATAGTAGAGGAGCAATAACTTGATGAGTTGCCCGAGCCAGAGCGGAGTTATAAGAAAACCAATGGCCTGGGTATCCGGGTTTCAGTTTGAAAGTCATAGACAAGCAAGCCCTTTGCCCAACCCGCCAAGCAGACTGTTACTAAAATAGCTACTGTGACTCAAATAGGCATATCGGATTTCACTGTGATTAATTTAGAGGATAGGTGTTACTAAAATAAGCATATATAATAATGTGACTTAAATACCAGAACAGGAGCAGGCAATTCACTTACCGCAGACCTTTCTGGCATTAATGAAGTTCACAGGACTCAACTTATACTATATACTTTGTTTAGCTCTCTCAAACATCCGATCTTGGAGTGGAATTCAGAAAAGTAGTGAAGTCAGAAGTCAGTCCCAAACTCTTAATTGAGATTTCGCTGTGATCCATTCCCCGTATTAGTATAGTTCATATCCAAAGTTACAGTTTCATTCCGTATTCTTTATTTGGAGATGAGAAAAGAAGCTATAGGAGAGTCCAGGCTACTGC